AGGCGCCCGCCACAACGCCTGGCTATTTTTTGGTTGCAGCCATTATTGTTGTTTGGCGGGTCCGGGCTGGGGATTCGAACCCTCCACCTTAGATGTACGTGGCTGGCGCCTTAGCCGGTTGAGCTATAGGCGCCGAGCCCCTTGAAAAGATCTTAAGAAAGTTCTTTACTGGAAGTCCAAGTTCTGTTGAATAAGTACACACAACCAGTTTTACCCCTGCATTGAAATCATATCCCTGATAATTCTGTAGAATACTAGATGAAGTGTTTGATTTTCTTTTGGGAACTATAGTTTATTAAAAAACATACTGTTAACAGCCAGGCATTGTGGCAGGCACCTGTAGTCCCAACTACTCAGGAGGCTAAGGCAAGAGAATCACCTAAGCCCAAGAGTAGGAGGTTGTTATGAGCTGTGACACCACAGCACTCTACTCAGGGTGACAAAGTGACACTCTGTCTCTAAAAATAAAAAAGCATATTGTTGTTAGGCACAGTGGCTCACGCCTGTTATCCCAGCACTTTGGAAGGTCAAGATGGAAGGATTGCTTGAGGCCAGCAGTTCATTGCCAGCCTGGGCAACATAGTGAGACCCTGTCTCTACAAAAAAGTTTAAAAATTAGCTGGGTGTGGCTCAGCTGTAGCACCTGTAGCACAATGGTTACGGCACCAGCCACATACACCAAAGTTGGCGAGTTCAAACCCAGCCCCACACCCGACCCAGGCCAGCTAACCAACAGTGACAACTGCAATAAAAAATAGCTGGACATTGTAGCAGGTGCCTGTAGTCCCAGCTACTTGGGAGGCTGAGCCAAGAGAATTGCTTGAGCCCAAGAATTTGAGGTTGCTGTGAGCTATGATGTCACAGCACTCTATTGAGGGCAACATAGTGAGACTCTGTCACCAAAAAAAAAAAAAAAAAAATTAGCCAGGATTGGTGGTATGCATTTGTATTCCCCACTACTCAGTAGGCTGCAACAGGAGGATCACTTGAGCACAGGAGTTCAAGGTTACAATGAGCTATGATGACACCAGTGGACTCTAGCCCAGGCAATACAGTAAGTCCCCATCTCTTTAAAAAAATATATTATTGGGCATTGCCTGTGGCTCAAAGGATTAGGGCGCTGGCTCCATATGCCAGGGGTGGCAGGTTCAAACCCAGCCCCAGGCCAAAAACTGCAAAAAAAAAAAAAAAAATACTGTTAAATAATAAAGTCACAATCCCTATGATGAGCTGTTTAACAATTAAAGAACATGTAGGGACAGAAACCATACAAGGAAATACCAGAATCATGTCTTCCTCCTAAGTTTGACTCTAAGGTATAAACTCCTGGATAGGAATAGCAGGTATAGTTACTCAAGTCACCTTTTTTTTTTTTTTAAGTAAGGATTAAACTGAACCCATGTTGACTTTTATTAACAAGGTCTGAGAGACACATTTCACATGAGTGTAAAAACTTAGTTATTAAACTTCCATACTGACTTTTTGTTTTTAAACAAGAATTAAACTAAAAACATAGACTGTTCACATAGCAAACTTAGGCTTCTAAGACAGTGTTCACAGGTACATAGAAAAATGTCCCTATTTTCAGTTTCACATACTTTGTCCCTGAAATTAATATAATTTAAGGATTTTTAGTTCTGCTGAAATAAAAGATTTTTACCCCTTTATTGTATCATGTTGAAGTAATGCCCTCAGATTTCACAAGGTAAAACAGGGTTTAAAAGTTAGTAAGTTTGACTTCCACTTCCACAAATGAGGACTAAGACCCCGAAGTCAACTTCCTCCAGAGAAAACATCTATAAAACCAGACGTGGGAAGAGATGACTTTTCAGCAAATGATATTAGAATAACTAGGCATCTGTATGGAAAAGTGTAAACTTTGACATTTATCTCACATAGTTCACAAAAGTATATTTGAAATGGATCACAGACCTAAACATAAACCTAAGCTCTAAACAGCTAGAGGAAGTTCTTCAAATAGAAATGATAAAAGAAGGCATTTGGGGATACCAAGAAGGAAACAAAACAGAAACTTAAAATGTGACTAAATACAATAGACTT